CGCGGGCCCCCGCCTCCCAGGACGCGCCAGTTTGTGGCGCCTCGAGGGCGGTTCGCTGCAAGCCAGTTCCCCGGCTGTACGGGGGTGCAGCAGGTGATTGGGCTCCCGTGGGTATTGTGACTTTAATCTGGAGGTTCCCCTCTGAACTCAGAAATGGCCCAGAGCAGAGGATGGCGGTAACAGCAGCGCATCCTGAGCTCTGTCCCGAGTGGTTTACCCGCATGTAATTTTCACTACCACCCTACGAGTGCAAACGTTATTTTCATCCTATTTTATTTTTAACAGATGAGCACAGTGAGACGCCACGGGGTTTAGTAACTAGTCTGGGTCACCAAGCGAGTAGCAGGACTTCCCTAGGGCTCGCACTCCTCTCCGCTGGGTACAGCCTTGCGTGACTCTTCACTGTCACCACAATATAGCACATTTGCTTATTCCGCTAGGTTTTAGCTTTTACGTCGGTGTGCAAGAGGCCACTGTTGCTCTAAATTAAGTGGTTTCTGCCAATGTTAACTTTTTGAAGATAGGAGTTGTTACAGGGAACTTGGATGCGAGTTTAAAGTGTCTTAAGGTGTAGTGGATACAGGGAATGAGAAAAAAGTAGAGGTGGCAGACTGAACTAGTGAATGAATGATCGGGGGATAAGATTTACACATCTTTTTCTTTGGCTTTTTTTAGGGTTATTCTTCCTATCCATTTCTGTACCACCGATCCAGACATGACTGCTTTACCATAACTACTGACAGTTGTTTAAAAGAACGATTTTGTAGTAGACAGGATAGTGAAATTGGGCGCCTGAAAAATGTTTGTCTTCTATTTTGTTTAATTTTTATAGTAAATTTAGAAAGTACAAATAAAAAGTGTTTCCATGGTTATATGTATTGGAGATTTCCACAAATACAGATTATAACCAGAACCATTGGGATGTTTCACGATTAGCACATTTGATTGCTTTTAACATAAGTTTATTCAAATGGGATAAAAATTACTTAAGCCATTGTCCTTATCTATATTATATTTTAAGCAGCAATTAGATAAGACTTAAAACGCCACAACTTTTGTAATCATGTGTAGATGTTTCCTTGTACAGTTTTCAGGTAATAATTGCAAATGAAATTGTATATGGATGAAGACTTTTGAATGAAAAGATGCAGCAAAAATTGAATAAGTCTATTTGCCAAGTAGCATTTAAGAAAAAGAACAGGGAACAGTAAAATTTGATACATTGGATTTGAAAGAGTAGGTTGATAGTACAGTAAATTAATCTTTTCAGTAGTTCTTACTTTGGTAGCATGTATTTTTAATAAATTCACATGTATTTTTATGCTAGCCAAATAATTTCCTGAATATTTGCCAGGATAATTAAACAACAACAAAAAATGCCACCTTTTCAAAGTATTTTTGAGAAGGTTGTTTCTGATGTTAAATCTTGATTCTTACATGTTATTTTTTATCAGTTTAACTATTTTGGCATGGCTGGTTCAAAAAGCATTTTTTTCGCTACTGTAGCGAATGTCAAAAGTTCTGGGTTGTAGATGCTGAGGATAGTGATTTTGCTCAAATATACCCAAACACTTATATATCTGAGGTTTATGCTTTTGTAGATTGATCTGGATACTATTGATGTGAGCAACCTCAACAGGCAGTTTTTGTTTCAAAAGAAACATGTTGGAAGATCAAAGGCACAGGTAACTATATTTCTCCTACCACTTCTCTAGCCCTTTCATGGATCTTCTTTTTATGATACCAGATTAATTCTGCCTCTCCAGTAGGAGGGAAATGGGCAAAGCTAAGCAATTATGAAGAATAAAATGAGACTGGGCGTGGTAGCTCAAGCCTGTAATCCTAGCACTTTGGGAGGCCGCGGTGAGGGAGTTGCCAGAGCCCACGGGTTCAAGAATAGACCTCATCTCTACAATAAATAAAAAATTAGCCAGGCGTGGTAGCACGCACCTGTACTTTCAGCTCCTTGGAAGGCTGAGGCTGAAGGATCGCCTGAGCCCAGCAGGTTGATGCTGGGGTGGCCATGAACATGCCACCGCACTCCAGCCTAGATAACGAAGTGAGGCTTATGATATATCAAGTAAAGGACTAAAGACTAAACCCTTCTGTTTTGGTCTAAAAAAGATGTAATCCCGTAATTGGTGTGACTTTTATTTATTTATTTTCAAAATTTTTATTATTTATTCAAAATTATGGGGTACAATTCAGGACTAGGTATACAAATAGTCACCGTGCAGTTACCCTTATCAATGAGGTGTGACCCTCTCTTACCCAGGCAGATATTGACTACTGTTGGTGTGACTTTCATGTCCTCCCCTTTTTTTTTTGAGTTGGAGTCTCACTCTGTCGTCACCCAGGCTGGAGGGCAGTGGCACACTTGAGGCCGCCGCAGCCTCGACCTGCTGGGCTCAGGCAATCCTTTCCCCCCTCAGCCTTCCAGGTAGCTGGAACGACGGGCATGTGCCACCATGCCTGGCTACTTTTTTGATTTATTGTACAGATGAGGTCTTGCCAAGTTGCCCAGGCTGCTCTCAAACCCATGGGCTCAGGCAGTCCCCTTACTTAGACCTCCCAAAGTGCTGGGATAATAGGCGTGAGTCACTGCATCTAGCCTTTATGTCCCCTTTATACAGTATTTAAAGTTGTGATTGTTAACTTAGGCTGAGCCTTGTGTTCTAGAGGTTGACTGCAGTTGGGTTTGGGGACAAGAGAAGGTGCAGCATATGCTGTTGTCCCATTTAAGACAAGACAGCCTCCCCTGGTGCTCTAGCTATCCTGAGCTTTGTTTAGCTTCTTCTTTTTTTTTTTGAGTTGGAGTCTCACTCTGTCGTCCAGACTGGAGTGCAGTGGCCACTCCCGGCCATCGCAGCCTCTACCTGCTGGGCTCCGGCAGTCCTTCCGCCTCAGCCTTCCAAGTAGCTGGAACTATAGGCGCGCGCTACCACGCCCGGCTAATTTTTTGATTTATTGTAGAGATGAGGTCTCACCAAGTTGCCCAGGTGGGTCTGGAACCCGCGGGCTCAGGCAATCCACTTACCTCAGCTCCTAAAGCGCGGGATTACAGGCTGAGCCACCAAGCCCGACTTATTTA